TTTTTATATTTTAAATTTTCCAATTATGCAATTTTTTAATATCTCTAATTTTGTAATAACATATTTGATTCATTTTTTTAATTTTTCAATTTTTCGATTTTTCAGATTTTGTTTTTGAATTACCAGATTTAAAATTGTTCCAAAGTTCTATGGAACTTCTTTGTAGTGGGCATGGTGACATAAATTTTGGTTAATAATGTATCAGGCTGATTTTTTGAGTTTTCTATTTTAAATTTAATTCAGGTTTTCGGTTTTTCAACTTTCGAATTTTTCAATTTTTTTTTTTAATTTTAGTCTTCGTTTCTTCAGTTATTTGGTTTCACCGTTTCTCGACTCAATTTTTTGACTTTACAAGTAATCGGTTTCCAATTTTTCGAGTTTTCTATTGTAATTTTTTCAATTTTTCGATCATTTTATTCCTAGATTGTTAATTTTTCGATTTTTCACCTTCTCGGCTTATCGATTTATTTTTTATAATTTTTTTGTTTTTCACTTTTACAATATTTCAATTTTGCGATTTTTAATTTTTCAATTTTTGCTTTCTCCAATGTTTCGATATCAAATTTTTCGAGATTTTTTTTTAATTGCTCAAATTTGGGGATTAAAATTTCGTATTTTTGTTGTTTTGATTTTTTAGTGTTAGAATTGTAAAATTTTTCTTTTTCAATTTTTCATCTTAATTTCCTAGATTTTTCAACTTTGGAATTTTTCAATTTTTCGATTTTTAATTTTACACTTTTTGGTTTCTTCTTTCTGTTTTTCGATTTCTGGTTTTTTGTTTTCAATTTTAATTTATTCAATTTTCCCACTGCTAAATTTTTGGCTTTTAAAATTTTGTTTTTCGATTTTATGGAATCGTCAATTTTCCAATTTTTCATTTTCCGGTTTTTTCTTTTTTCATTTTTTTTTTTAATTTCGATTTTTCGAATTTTCGTTTCTTCATTGCTCCGATTTCCAATTCTTTAAATTTTCAATTTTAAATCAAAATTTTTGATTTTTCGATGTCATATTTTTCGAGTTCTCGATTTAAAATTTTTGGATTTACAATTTTTCGATTTGTAGAAATTTTAATTTTTTGTTTTTTCATTTTTACAATATTAACTAAGAAATGAAAACTCAGAAAAATAAAAAAGTAAAAAAAGACAAAAAGATCACAAAAACGGCTACTAAAAAACTACAAAAACTAACTTAAAAAAAAAACGAAAACAGGGTTTTAAGGAAAGAGGACAAAAAAGACCACAAAAAAAAAGGCGAAAAAGAAGGAAAGGCGAAAAAAATACTAACAAAAATGACCAACAAAAAATTGTACAAGAAAAACGCTTAAAAAGAAAGGCCACAAAAAAAACAAAAAAAGGGCAAAAAGGCAAAAACGGGGAAATAAAAAAAGCACAAAAAAAGAGCTAACAAGGACGAAAGAGGGGACACAAAGAGGTGACAAAAAACAACTTAAAAAAAATGAAAACCAGTCACAAAAACGAAAAAAAAGCCAAAAAAGACTACCAAAAACTACTAAAAAAAAGACGAAAAGGGGTTAAAGGAAAGACAACAAAAAAAGGTGCAGATGAGTAAAAAAATACTATAAAGGCGTAAAAAGAGGACAAAAAATAGGCGATTAAATCAATCAGTGACCATGGGGACAAAAAAAGGACAGAAAACAACAAAAAGGTTACAAAAAAGTAGAATAAATTCCACAGAAAAAAGGCGAAAAAAACGACCAAGAAAAAAAATTGCACAGAAAAAAACGCTTAAACGAAAGGTCACAAAAAAACGATAAAATTGCCAAAAAGTGTAAATAGGTGCTAAAAAGACGAAAAAAAAGGCCAAAAAAAACGCTTAAAGAAAGGTGACAAAAAAGCGACAAAAATAGACTCCAAAAAAAAAGGGCTAAAAAACGCCAATCAATGGCATAAATAGGATACAAATAGCTGACGACAAAAAACAACAAAAAATTAAAAACCGCTTAAGAAGGACCAAAAAAAAGAAAAAAAAAGACCACGAAAAAACGATTACAAATACAAAAAAGAAAAAACAAAAAAAAGTAAGAAATAAGCACCAAAAATGCCCCAAATAAAGTTAAGAAGAGTGATAAAAACAAGCGTCAAGAATTATGGTAAAAAAGGCCCCGATAAAAAGAAGCGCAAAAACCGAAAAAAAAATGCGCAAAAAACTCCGAAAAAGGGACAATCAGCAAAAAAAAGGGAAACAAGTTTTTTACAAGAAGAAACCAAAAAAAGGCGGCAAAAATCCGACAAAATAGCAACAAAGGAAAAAGAATTTTAAAGATGGCTACCGAAAAAGGGTGACAACAACATCAAAAAAGCGTTAAAAGCAAAAAATACAAAAAAAACTCACAAACGACGGAAAAAGGGGACCAAAATGCTTTAAAAAAGATGACAAAAAGGCAACAGACAAAAAAACATCCAAAAATGCACATAAAAAAAACTGAAAAAAGCTAAAAAAATCGAAGGAAGAGCAGAATAAACATGAACAAACTGATAAATAACTGATTAATATACATAGCATTTTTTGAGCAACACGATACTTTAAAACATGTTTTTAATTTCTTGTAAAGAAATAAGTATTTTGCAGTTAAGCTCCGCCCCCTTGATTCACGGCGAATAAAAGAATTCATCACGATTGAAACAGGGTGGGTGGGCGGGCTCACATTTGTTTGAACATGCGTACACTTCTTTTCATAACATGAAACTTAAAACATGTTTAAAATGGAAAATTTGTATAAACAAATATCGATTTTGCAATTAGGCTCCGCCCCATAATTGCAAAATCCATGTTTTCTTGCAAAAATATACCATTTTAAGCATGTTCTAAGTTTCTTGTTGTGAAAAGATGGCCATGTATATTAAGCAAAAAATTGGTCTAAAGAGTTTAGACAGTACTTCCCTCGCTGTCGGAAACGTGACGACTGCATGTCCATTATGTTTTTTTTTTCGCAGTAGATTTCATTATTTTTTTTGAGTCACCCGGTATATGCAAATTCAAAAAATATGAATGGAATGACAATTACAAGTACAGACTCATCATATTTTGTATATTCTGGATAGGATTTATTCGGCAAACTTTTGAGCTGACGTCATCAATTTTTTGGAGGGGATAAGCAAATATATTTTGACTAAACAGTTATTATGCTCTTTATAACCTTAAAACATTTGCAAGATTTCAAAGCATTCGGTTTTGTAGTTCCTGAGTAAATCAGTAAAATAAATTTACGCATTAATTAATTTTTTTGAGTCACCCTGTATATGCAAATCCAAAAAATATGAATGGAGTGATAGATCACAAGTACAGACTCATCATATTTTGTACATTTTAGATATGATTTATTCCACAAACTTTTGAGCTGACGTCATCAAGTTTTTGGAGGGGATAAGCAAATATTTTTTGACTAAAGATTTATGATGCTCTTTATAGCCTTAAAACATCTGCAACATTTCAAAGCATTCTGGTTAGCAGATTAAAAATTAAATTTCAAAATGTTGTTTTATAATTTTGATTTTTTTTCCAAAAATCTGGACGTTTCGGGTGAAAAGTCGATTCAGAGTTGTAAACTACATGTGTAGGACTATGTTATTTTATACAATTGAAAACCCATTTACTATGTACAATTTTGAAGTGACGTCATCGCATTAGTGGTGGGGATGATTAGACAAATTTTGGTTAGCGTTTTACCATCTACATGATATTCTTAATATAAGTACAAAATTTCACAACAATCGGTCGAGTACTTTCGGAGATTATCTGTCTAATAAAAATCCGGGACGGCAGACGGACAGACGGACGGACAGACGGACAGACAGTCGGAAATGGGAGACCTATTTCTTCGTCTTCTAGGGGTCATGAAAGATCGAGAAAACGTAAAAGTAGAGATTCGGCCGACGGACTCGATTACAATACTTCCTTTGCTTACGCTCGGGAAGTAAAAAACACCAAAAAAATGCACATAAAAAGAAAAAAAAAATCGAAGAAAGAGCAGAATAAACATGAACAAACTGATAAATAACTGATTAATATACGTAGTATTCTTTGAACAGCACGATACTTAAAAACATGTTTTTAATTTCTTGTAAAGAAATAAGTATTTTGCAGTTAAACTCCGCCCTCTTGGTTCACGGCGAATAAAAAAAATCATCACAATTGAGACCGGGCGGGTGGGCGGGCTTACATTTTGCCTAGTTGTATGAACATGCGTACAGTTCTTTTCACAACATGAAACTTAAAACATGTTTAAAATGGGAACTTTGTATAAGAAAATATACCATTTTAAGCATGTTCTAAGTTTCCTGTTGTGAAAAGATGGCTATGTATATTAAGAAAAAAAGCCAAAATATAAGCCCCACCCACCCGCCCTGTCTCAATTCTGATGATTTTTTTTATTCGTCGTTAGCCAAGGGGGCGGAGCTTAATAGCAAAATTCTTGCTCAAAGAATACTACGTATATTAAGAAAAAACAAGCCAAAAATTAGGTCCCACCAAAAAGGCAACAGACGGAAAAAAACATCCAAAAAAATGCACAAAAAAAGACAAAAAAGGATACAAAAAAAGGGCACCGAAAAGATTTGAAAAACTGTATTTTCTATATTTTTTGATAGAATTTATTCAGCAATATTTTGAAATAAGGTTATCAAGGTTTTGTAACGAAATAAATTTTGATTAGCGATTCACCGTTTTTACGATAACCCTAGACATTTGTAAACAGTCGGTTTTATAGTTCATAATTCCATTCTAAACCTTGTTCTACAATTTTTTTTTCCGAAAATCGAGACATTATCAAAACCACAAAATTCTGAGTTGACGTCAACAAACTGTTCATAGAGACGATCATACAAATTTTGGTTAGATTTTTTGTGGTTTATACGTTCAATAAAATCACCAACAGGCAACAGACAGCAACGGAAGACCTACTTTTTCAAACTTTAGGGGTTACAAAATGTCGAAAAAACGTGAAATCAGATTTAGTTTAGATGTTTACACACTATACTCACATTTGCTCCCAATTAGGCAAAACATGCTTGAGGAAGTGTTTGGCAGCCGTGGCTTGATGTTCCTCCTGCTGCAACTGCAGTTTCTGCAGCTTCTGTCTGGCAACATTATTTTGAGCTTCTTTCCTTTTGGCAGCGGCGATCATCGCCTTATATTCTTCCCGGTGTCTTTGTTCTTCTTCTTGAGTTTTAGCAGGCAAGTTGGACGGCCTATTTAAATTTAAGTTTCAACCATTAAATCCACACTTCCATTTTAAGTACATACCTTGGATGCTGAATGAGTGCAGTTGAGCTTGCCACGTGATGTGGAGAACTGGAAGAACTAGCCCTGGCAGTTTTACTAAACAATTTCCAAACACTTGAACTCGTGGCTGATGAGCTTGATCTCCACGACGAAAAAACACTCCTGGTAAAAAAACTAGTGAGACTCTTCTTGTAGTTTTGATCTCTAGAGTCATCAAAACTGTTCAATGAGTTGTCATCGGCGTCTAATAAAGTATTTGATGGTGAGGGTTCACTCAGGCTGGACACAGTACTAGAAAAAGATCCTTTGAGATTTCTGGTGTGTCCTTTCTTCAGGTCATCTCTAGTGTCATCAATTTGCTCATTCTCTGCAGGTTTTTCCACTAAATGTAATTGTTTTGTCACAGGACTATACGCTAATGATATGTTTTGCAAAGCTTCGCTTAACGTAACTTTCTTAATAATACCGTTTTCTACAATATCACAATTTTTAAACTTTACTTGAGTATTTGGAGATGGATTGAGACTGCTCTCAGTGCTTTTGAATTTGTCACGTTCTGGCCACGTTTTGAACCACGGCGACTGCGGAGAATTGTTCTCGACTAAGAGTTTATTGTGAGTATCACAGTTATCGACAGCATCGTATTCCTCGATTTTGTTCTTTTTGTCCACCACACAGTTGGGCAGACTTTGGGTTCGAAAGTCTTGAGTTACATTATTCTTCAAAAGAACCTTTTGGTAGTGGCTTTTGTGACCCATTTTTGCGTTTTTCTTACATTCTACGAGCGAATAAGGGGATTTTTTGTCGGTTACCGAATCTGGGACTTCCTTTATTTCACAGCATGGTGGCCTCAGTTGGTTGGTGGAGCTGAATTTTTGCATCGCGGGATCGACATGTGAAAGAAAATTACACTACTTCTGATAGAGATGCATTGTTTTTAGAAACAATAGTTTAATAACGTTAACTAAAAATTAAAATGTGGGTTTATTTTGGTAGTTTGACATTTCTAAAAAACGGCGGCCATGTTTACTACGTAGCCTGTCTAGATTGACATGGAGAAATGGCACTTTTGTGTATTACTGGTTGCCTAAAAATATAACTGATCCATATTCATTTACGATCTTTATATTGTAAAGTAGGCTTTGATATTTTTTCTTTAAGTTGGAACATTGGAATTTAACAAAAATCTAAAGTTTAAATAACGAAAAACTGAAAATCCAAAAAATAAAAAATCGAAAAGTCAAAAATAGAAATGTTGAAAAATTCCAACACTGAAACAAATATCCAAAATTGAGACATTAAAAATTTTTTCGTTTTTTGATTTTTCCGCTTTTCCAATTTTTCAACTTTTATCTTTTTGTTTGTCGATTTCTCTATTTTTCGACTTCATCACTTTTCGATTTCTCGTTCTTTTGATCTTTCAACCTCTCAATTTTTCAAATTTTTAAGTTTTTTTTTCGAAAAATCCAGAACGTGAAAAATCCAAAAGTCGAAATACTAAAAAATTCCAAAATTGAAAAATTGAAGATTCGAAAAATTGAGAAAACTCACAAAATTGAACGAAATATCCAAAAATTGGGAGATTAAAAAATTGAAAAATTGGGAAATCGAAAAATCGAAAAATTGCAAACCTAAAGAATCGAAAAATTGAAAAATTGACGAACTGAAAAACTGAAAAATCGAAACCTTGGGAAGTCGAAAATGGGTAATTCAAAAAATAGATTAATTGAGAAACCGGAAAACTGAAAATTCAGAAACGTCAAAACTTGAAAATTTAAAAAATTGGAAATTGAAAAATCGGATAATTCAAAAATCGAAAAGCCGAAAAGTAAAAAAACTAAAAACCGATAAACCAAAAAATTCAAAAACTGAGACAATCAAAACATCGATACATCCCCCTCTCGATAAATCGAGTTCTCAAAAAATTGAAAAATCGAAAAATAAAAAATTCGGAAAAAAAAATTAAAATATGCAAGAACTGAAAACTCGAAAAATTCAGAAATCGAAATACATATAAAACAGTCGAAAATTGAAAAATCTAAAGTTTAAAAAACGAAAAACTGAAAATCCAAAAAATAAAAAATCGAAAGGCGAAAAATAGAAATATTGAAAAATCCCGACACTGAAGCAAATATCCAAAATTGAGAAATTAAAAATTTAGCCAACCGAAAAATCCAAAAATCGAAGAATTGAACAACTGAAAAATCGAAACTGCGAATTCGAAAAACGGGAAATAAAAAAAAATATATATTAATTGAAAAAACGGAAAACTGAAAATTTAGCAACGTCAAAATTTGAAATATTGGAAAACAGAAATATTGAAGAACTGGAAAATTATAAAATCCAGAAATCAATACATATTTCAATTCTTCGGGTTTTCTATTTTTGATTTCTGGATTTTTCGATGTGTCTACCTTATTACTTTTTCGATGTTTCAATTTTTCGACTTCCTGGTTTTAGATGCTCTGTTTTTCAATTTTTCGATTTGTTAATTTTTCATTCCCGATTTATCGAGATTTGATTGTTCAGGTTTTCGATTTATCAGTTTTCCATTTTTTCAACTTTTAACTTTTTGTTTGCCGATTTCTCTATTTTTCGACTTTTCGACTTCATCACTTTTCGATTTCTCGTTCTTTTGATCTTTCAATCTCTCAATTTTTCAAATTTTTAAGTTTTTTTTTCGAAAAATCCAGAACGTGAAAAATCCAAAAGTCGAAATACTAAAAAATCCCAAAATTGAAAAATTGAAGAATCGAAAAATTGAGAAAACCCACAAAATTGAACGAAATATCCAAAAATTGGGAGATTAAAAAATTAAAAAATCGGGAAATCGAAAAACCGAAAAATTGCAAACCTAAAGAATCGAAAAATTGAAAAATTGACGAACTGAAAAACTGAAAAATCGAAACCTTGGCAAGTCGAAAATAAGCATTTAAAAAATAGATTAATTGAGAAATCGGAAAACTGAAAATTGAAAATTTAAAAAATTTGAAAATTGAAAAATTGGATAATTCAAGAATCGAAAAGCCGAAAAGTAAAAAAACGAAAAACCGATAAATCGAAAAATCGAAACATCCAAAAATTCAAAAACTGAGACAATCAAAACATCGAAACATCCGAATCTCGATAAATCGAGTTCTCAAAAAATTGAAAAATCGAAAAATAAAAAATTCGGAAAAAAGAAAAATTAAAATATACAAGAACTGAAAACTCGAAAAATTCAGAAATCGAAATACATATAAAACAGTCGAAAATTGAAAAATCTAAAGTTTAAAAACCGAAAAACTGAAAATCCAAAAAATAAAAAATCGAAAGGCGAAAAATAGAAATATTGAAAAATCCCAACACTGAAACAAATATCCAAAATTGAGAAATTAAAAATTTAGCCAACCGAAAAATCCAAAAATCGAAGAATTGAACAACTGAAAAATCGAAACTGTGAATTCGAAAAACGGGAAATAAAAAAAAATATATTAATTGAAAAATCGGAAAACTGAAAATTTAGCAACGTCAAAATTTGAAATATTGGAAAACAGAAATATTGAAGAACTGGAAAATCAAAAAATCCAGAAATCAATACATATTTCAATTCTTCGGGTTTTCTATTTTTGATTTCCGGATTTTTCGATGTGTCTACCTTATTACTTTTTCGATGTTTCAATTTTTCGACTTCCTGGTTTTAAATGTTCTGTTTTTCAATTTTTCGATTTGTTAATTTTTCATTCCCGATTTATCGAGATTTGATTGTTCAGGTTTTCGATTTATCAGTTTTCCATTTTTTCGTTTTTTGATTTTTCCGCTTTTCCAATTTTTCAACTTTTAACTTTTTGTTTGTCGATTTCTCTATTTTTCGACTTGTCGACTTCATCGCTTTTCGATTTCTCGTTCTTTTGATCTTTCAATCTCTCAATTTTTCAAATTTTTAAGTTTCTTTTTCGAAAAATCCAGAACGTGAAAAATCCAAAAGTCGAAATACTAAAAAATCCCAAAATTGAAAAATTGAAGAATCGAAAAATTGAGAAAACTCACAAAATTGAACGAAATATCCAAAAATTGGGAGATTAAAAAATTGAAAAATTGGGAAATCGAAAAACCGAAAAATTGCAAACCTAAAGAATCGAAAAATTGAAAAATTGACGAACTGAAAAACGAAAAATCGAAACCTTGGCAAGTCGAAAATGAGCAATTCAAAAAATAGATTAATTGAGAAATCGGAAAACTGAAAATTCAGAAACGTCAAAACTTGAAAATTTAAAAAATTGAAAAATCGGATAATTCAAACAGTAAAAAACGAAAAACCGATAAATCGAAACATCGAAAAATTCAAAAACTGAGACAATCAAAACATCCAAACATCCGAGTCTCGATAAATCGAGTTCTCAAAAAATTGAAAAATCGAAAAATAAAAAATTCGGAAAAAAGAAAAATTAAAATATACAAGAACTGAAAACTCGAAAAATTCAGAAATCGAAATACATATAAAACAGTCGAAAATTGAAAAATCTAAGTTTAAGAAAAGAAAAACTGAAAATCCAAAAAATAAAAAATCGAAAAGTCGAAAAATAGAAATATTGAAAAATCCCAACACTGAAACAAATATCCAAAATTGAGAAATTAAAAATTTAGCCAACCGAAAAATCCAAAAATCGAAGAATTGAAGAACTGAAAAATCGAAACTGCGAATTCGAGAAACGGGAAAATAAAAAAAAAATATTAATTGAAAAATCCGAAAACTGAAAATTTAGCAACGTCAAAATTTGAAAAATTGGAAAACAGAAATATTGAAGATCTGGAAAATCAAAAAATCCAGAAATCAATACATATTTCAATTCTTCGGGTTTTCTATTTTTGACTTCTGGATTTTTCGATGTGCCTATCGTATTACTTTTTCGATGTTTCAATTTTTGGATTTTTAAATTTTAGATTTTTCAATCGTTAGATATTTTAATTTTTTAATATTTCTTAATCTTTCGATTTTTCGACTTCCTAATTTTATATGTTCTGTTTTTCAATTGTTCGATTTGTTAATTTTTCATTCTCGATTTATCGAGATTTCATTGTTCAGGTTTTCGATTTATCAGTTTTCCATTTTTTCGTTTTTTGATTTTTCCGCTTTTCCAATTTTTCAACTTTTAACTTTTGGTTTGTCGATTCTCTATTTTTCGACTTTTCGACTTCATCACTTTTCGATTTCTCGTTCTTTTGATCTTTCAATCTCTCAATTTTTCAAATTTTTAAGTTTCTTTTTCGAAAAATCCACAACGTGAAAAATCCAAAAGTCGAAATACTAAAAAATCCCAAACTTGAAAAATTGAAGAATCGAAAAATTGAGAAAACTCACAAAATTGAACGAAATATCCAAAAATTGGGAGATTAAAAAATTGAAAAATTGGGAAATCCAAAAACCGAAAAATTGCATACATAAGGAATCGAAAAATTGAAAAATTGACGAACTGAAAAACGAAAAATCGAAACCTTGGCAAAACGAAAATGAGCAGTTCAAAAAATAGATTAATTGAGAAATCGGAAAACTGAAAATTCAGAAACGTCAAAACTTGAAAATTTAAAAAATTGAAAAATCGGATAATTCAAACAGTAAAAAAGGAAAAACCGATAAATCGAAACATCGAAAAATTCAAAAACTGAGACAATCAAAACATCCAAACATCCGAGTCTGGATAAATCGAGTTCTCAAAAAATTGAAAAATCGAAAAATAAAAAATTGGGAAAAAAGAAAAATTAAAATATACAAGAACTGAAAACTCGAAAAATTTAGAAATCGAAATACATATAAAACAGTCGAAAATTCAAAAATCTCAAGTTTAAAAACGAAAAACTGAAAATCCAAAAAATAAAAAATCGAAAAGTCGAAAAATAGAAATATTGAAAAATCCCAACACTGAAACAAATATTCAGAGTTGAGATTTTAAAAATTTAGCCAACCGAAAAATCCAAAAATCGAAGAATTGAAGAACTGAAAAATCGAAACTGCGAATTCGAGAAACGGGAAAATAAAAAAAAATATATTAATTGAAAAATCGGAAAACTGACAATTTAGCAACGTCAAAATTTGAAAAATTGGAAAACAGAAATGTTGAAGATCTGGAAAATCAAAAAATCCAGAAATCAAT